AATGTGATGTGTTTTTTGTTGTTGCTTCTTGCTGTTTCGTGTTCGTTCTGTTTCAGCATTGCTAGGCGCTTTTTTGGCACGGGCTGAGGATGAAACGCAGCGGAAACGATCGCCATGTGGGGGGTGGTGGAAAGCGTTCGCGTCTGGACAGTTACGAGGAGGCGCTGGCAAACGGGAAGTACGAGCTGAGATTGCTGGTGACGAGCCGCGGAGCCGGTGGCATTATCGGCCGAGGAGGCGAAAATATCAAGCGCCTCCGCACCGAGGTACGATTCTTAATTCCCTCACTGTTCCGCTGTCTGTCCCAGTTCGTTTTTTTTTCATACTTCTGCAGTTTCGATGAAGAAATTCCCGTGGTTGTTGATCCATGCCAGTTTGGCAGTCATAGGATTTCCACTGATCCTCGGACCGATTGACATAATACAGCCGAGAGATCGCCCATGGGTAGATTTTCCCCGAGGCTCAGGCTTTTGCTGCTGGCACTGAATTGATTGAGATTGGAGGAGCGAGGTTGTTACAGGGCTTGCGTTTTTGTCCATCAAGCAACAGAAGTGTGCCTGGTGGCCCAGCCGAGCCATCGTAGCCTTTCAAAACTCTGTTCTTTAGCATTCACTGGGAATCCATTTGATTGGCATATAAGGGGTGTCGTAGTGTTTTACACGCTGAATTCCAAGAGCAGTAGAGATTTTCGAAAGGTTTTCCCAGTTCCGTCTCGTGTGAAGACTGTTCGATACGGATCTTGGGGCTGGTAGGGCTTTGCTTAGAAGTATGAGGCTTTGATATGACTAGGCGTAGTTAAATGGGTCTGTCCCGGGCCGTCCTGAGCGGGCATTTTGCAATGAAATGGCTTTAAAACTTCTCCGGATCCTTCGAATCGTGATCGATTAATAATTGTATCACCGGCTCATGTGCACCAGTGCCACCGGAGCCTTTCGTTCTGTAAATCAGCCCCATACAAAGCATTTGCTTGACTCGGATTGAGAGGCAAGCTGCAATAATTGGGGATAGGTAG